GCCTGGTGTGCTGTGCACACCTGTAATCCCAGCTACATGGGAGGCTGAGGTGGGAGGATCATAAATTCAAGAGAATCCAGGGAAACAGTGAGACTCTGTCTCAAAAGAAAGAAAGAAAAAAATGACACCCAGAAGTAGCAACTCAAACACAGACACAATTTTCCATGAGGACACACAGAGCAATTCCCAGATCACGTATGTAATGTCAATTGAACAGCCACACAGACTTGGTGCATCTACGGTCCTTAATCCAAGGCGATAGGTAGGTGGACAGGACCTGGGTACATCCAGGGGTCTGTAACCCAAGGAGATGGCAGGCGGCTGGGACTTTGGCACCACTGGGGTCTGTAGCCCACAGCAGTGGTGTGTGGACAGGACCTTCCCTACGTGCCCAAGCCCACAGTGAGGGCTGTGACACTGTCCACCAGCAGGGCCGGAGCTCACTCTCCCAACCCTTCCAGATAACACACATCTAATCATGTGGCCCCGTTTGTAAACTCAATGTTTAAGATTAAAGCCTCTGCCAAAGGGCAGATCGGACAGCTAGTCTCCTTCCTTTCCGTAATACTTCCTGGGTTAAGAATTTGGCATCCAATCCTGTTGTCACAGGCATATACACAGCCTGGTTCACACAGCTCAAATTGTGCCCACTGGCAAGTATTTCACAGACAAGGCCACAGACTTCAGTCAAACCTCTGAGCTGCCCTTGTCCAGTGTCAACAAAAAGCAGCAGCAGCAGCACGTTCTGTCACCACAAGCCCACAGGAGCGGTGCAGCCAAGGGAACAGAGAGATTCAGCTAAAGACAAAATGGGCACAAGCAGAACATTCCACGTACTACATTCAGCAGTTTAGGCTGCTCAGAAAACCCAAGAAATGTTCACACAGTCCAGCACAGTTCAAACACTGTCCCTAACCAGACTCCAGTGAAGCCCGAGATCCGAGCTCGGACGCCTTTCCCGCCTGCTCCTTCTCACGACATCCGGGTTCCCCAGAGTGGACTGGCTCTAGGTCCAGTTTCCCAGAAGATTCCAGTGTGAGTCACTGACTGCTTCACAGATCCCCGCACACAGACCCTGCACTGACCCGGCTGGTTCACTCCACTACCTGGGCCGCAAGCCACAGAGCATGGGCCAGAGCGTCTGCAGGACAAGGGGACGCACGGCCACTTCGCTGCCCCAAGTAGACCCACCAGCCCTCTGAACCGCCAGCACCGTGTGGATGCCTCAGCTGCAGACACACAGGCCAGATGCAGACCAGCTCAGAGTGGAGACCTGCACACTGCGGGCATCACTGAAGCTCACTGTGCAGCGCTGAAGCGCCGGAAATGCCAGCGTCCACTTCATGAACGTCTTCCTAGAACCGGACTAACAGGACTAGCACTCGACAGGCCTCAGACACTCTCCACAGGGGACGTGGATGCCAAGCCGATGGCGGTCCTCGCTTTGGAGGCTTGGCACAGGTCCTCCCATCAGTTTCCTTCAGCAAAATCAATTTTTTCTGCTGTGTACAAAGTCAGCTCTATCAAGCCTGAAGTCAGGATACAAGTTCATAATACTTTAACCCATTCCACTTAAAATACAGCTAACCTGCCAGGCAGCGGCAGGGTGCTCCGGGTACTCATTGAGCCTCCTTTCCTGTTTCGGGGAAAGGACGCTGAGCACCACAGGATTCCTGGTGGTTAACAGAGGACAGGACTATGAGACCTGGAAAGCATAAGAGAACAGACCAGAAAAGAAAAAGAAAACGCCTCAGCTAAAATACTAGAAAATTCAAGTCATTTATGCTTCAGTAACTTGAAAGTACTTAGCAATTTTCCTCAAACATTATAACCCATAAACCATTTAAACAATGGAAGCAGGAAAAGTGTGTAAAGGGGCGTGAGGCTGTCCCAGCTGTGGGCTATGTGGGAGCCCTGTGCGCCACAGTCCTCCCAGGGCTGGGGGACAGTGCCTGTAGGCCTGGGGACCGGGAGAGGATGCAGTGCGGAGGACAAGCAGGGAGGGAGCACCGAATCTACCAAGGCGAGCGCCCCACGTGTGCCTCACACCTTCAGACAGGGAAGGGCCAGAACACGGCTGCCTGCCAACACCGGAAGCAGCTGCACGCTCTCTGTGGGCTCAGCCCCTGCACATTCCGGGCCGGGCTGCGGCTCAGAGGCAGAGCCTGCCCAGCACCAAAAACATCCAAGCAGTGAGACAGGGGATAAAATAGCTGACTTGGGAAGCATTAGCTCCTCTGGAGGAAAAAGATCTGTAAATGCTGACTGAATGCCTGTGCGTGGTCTCTGTGCTTTCTCTAAACCCAAATTCAGTTTGATCTCTGCAATTATAGGAAAAGTATTAGAGAATTATAAGTAAAACTAGAAAATAATTCATACTGTGATTTGGGGGGGTGTTTTTTTCAACTGAGGATTGAAATGAAGGCCTTCACACTGAGCTAAACTGCCCAGGCTGGGCTCCAACTGGGAATCCTCCTGCCTCAGCCTCCCAAACTACTGGAATTATAAGTGTGAACCTATACCCTTGTCTTTAACATAACATGATTTTTATGTGCTAAAAACTACTATGCATAGCTGGCCATTTAAAGTTCTCTACTTCAATTACATTGTCTCTCTGGGGTCCTACAGTCCAGGAAAGATGGAGGCACCGACGGCTAAGAAGCAGGGCTTTCTTCTCTCTCAGGGTACCTCGCCACTCCCAGGCAGAAATAGTCCTGTGCTGGCCCATTCCACCAGGTCCTGCCAAGGCTCAACATGCACAACCACACCCTGAAGGCCTGGCCTGCCCTCCCATGGCCCTGCTGGCACTGCTGTCCTGGACCACTCACCACGAGAGCTCCCAAGGGTGTGAGCCGCATGGGGGGCTGGGAACCACCTTCCCCATGGGACCAAGCCCAGAGTGAGGGCCGCAGTGCTGTGGGACAGAGGGCGTGGCATCCTTAGCAGGGACCTTGGCCCCCTTCCTGGCCACTGGTCTCTGTCCCGCCTGGTGGCCCAGCAGACCAGCCCCTGGCGTCAGGCCCTTTGCCCTCTCAGACACCATCACCGGCCTCTGATGAGGCTGCAGCATAGACAGGGACAGGTGAGGGAAGAGCAGATTCCCCAAACCCACACTGGTGGACACCACAGCGCTCACGTAACGGGTGTGAAGCACCTGTGTCTTCACGGAGGGTGGCACAGCTGTTCGTGCATCTGCAAACCATCCTGCTGAGCCGGCTGTGATCAGCCTGCCACAGCGCCAGGCATCCCCACCCCACTCACCCTGGACCGCCCAGAGCATGGCTGCTTTGAAAGCCACTCAACCCCAAAGACACCAGCCAGCAGGGTCAGGAAAAAGCCCCAGGTGTGAGCAGCATGAGAAGGTCCCTCTCCCTTATCAAACCCACCAGGGTTCAGCCACTAAAGTGACACTTGCAGTTCCTTCAAAAATGCAAGCACTTTGGGTAAGTGAATTCCCAGGATCAGTCTCCTCCAAAGAGGTTAACTGTTGCCCTCAGAAAACATTACCAAAATCCATTTTTTTATTTTTATTTTGAGACAGGGTCTCCTTAAATTGCTATGTTACCCTAGCTAAACCTGAACCTATGACCCTCCTGCCTCGGCCTGCCAGAGTGCTGGGATTAGTAAAGCAAGCTATCACTGCCCAGCCCTAAATCCATTTTTTAAAGCACGAATCAGATTGAGCTTTCTGCTTTCTGGTGATTTTCCCCCTCAAAGTTTCTGTTTAGTTAAGAGTTCCAAGTCATGAATGAATGAGGACACCACTGGCAGGGTGCTTGGACACAACAGGCGCCAAAGTCAGGCCAAGATCCTGCTGCCTCTGTGGCTCTTTGGGACGGGGTGGGGTGGCAGATGGACACTGCAGCAGGGGTCAGAGGTGGCCTACACAGTCCTTGCTCCCTCAGCACATAGCAGCGCTGCCTTTGTCTGTGTTGCCTCAGTTTACCACACTGCCTTTGGGGCTTATGAACCATCTCACACATATCATCTCTAAAATGCCACAACTCTACAAGGTTAAGGAGGAGCATCATGAACATTTTACGGGCAAGAAAGACAGTTATGAGAGAAAAAAAAAACATTTACTCAAAACTGCACAGTTAAACTTCATGAGGTGGCACACATTTGTAATCCCAGCATTCAGGAGGCTGAGGCAGGAGTGCCAGCTTGAACTACATAATGAGACCCTGTCTCAAAACAACAGTAAAAAAAACTTAAAAGCACAGCTAGAAAGTTGTATGCTCAGAAATCATAAGATTACAATCATAAGTGCACATTCTGACTCAAACCAAAGCCCAGGCCTTCGTATCATGTCGAAGAGTCTACCAAAACCCCCAGCAATAGAAAGTACTACTGCTTTTAGAACTAATGAGAAAAAAGTATCTCTACTTTCAAAGTTGAAAAATACAAAAGCAAAGCACTGCAGCAAAGGATAAATTTTTTGGCTTTTTTACTTAGGAAGGCTGCATTTTACTCAAAACAATAGTTAAATTTTACTAAAACCAACACCGATCTGCAGCCGCAGTATGGAACTAGAAATGCAGTTCCCTAAGCCTTTATTCAGGCTCCACTGACGCCAGACCAAGGCGATGTCGCCCACATCACTAGCCCCCGCCGCCTGGGAAGACTGCAGGGCCTGCGGAGAGATGCCTGCAGTCCCGAATATGACTGTTTAAATTACTGAAAGCACTGATTATTCGTACACATAACATGCTTTTTTCTCCCCATCTTCGTGAACCTCGTAAAACACGGTCATCCCGCATGCCCTCCGCAGCCCAGGCACTTGTGTTTCTGCCAAAACATCTCAGACCGGATGCTGAAAACTGAACCCAAACTGACCCTCCTGGGGCTGACCCCACGGCGGGGCCAGGAATCAGGGTCCCACACCGGACTCCAGCCCTGAGGGTCCCTCCCCTCTCCAGGCCTGCGTTGAGAATGCCCCAACCGTGCCCCAGCAAGCCGGAAGCAGAGCCCAGGCGCAGAGGGGCGGCCGGTTCTCTTACCTCTGCTTCGGTGCATCGCGAGCTGCCCAATTTACCTGTAATAAAAACACAGAAAGTTACTTCAAAGGAAGTGCCGAGGCTGCTCACTGACGCCCGCTGGGGTCCATGGAGACCTCTGCGAGGAGCAGAGCACCGGAGAGCGCACCAAGAGCACGGTCAACTGTGAAGAGATAAAATACACACATGCTCAACGCCAGTTATCAAGGGAAAACCACTTCTGAGGTCTTGCTTTCTTTTTCAAAGGCCTTAAAATGCTCTAAAGCATTTTATTGTATTATTTTTTAGGTGCGGGGATTGAACTCGGGTCCTTGTGCTTGCAAGGCAGGCAGCGAAACCACTGAGCTAAATCCCCCGACCCTCTAAAGCATTTTAAATAAGCTTTAGGAAACCTTAAAGCCTTGGGTTAGGCCCCAGATTGCCTCCGTTTTAAAGGTACAGTGATCATTTCAGTGAAATCAGAAATGCTTCGATACAATACAACCATATCATTAACTCGGTAATCTTCCCGGTAAAGGTTACCTAAATAATAAGTAGCACCTGGAGGACCAGCACCTGGGAGGCATTCCCTTCACTACGCAACACACACAACCACACACTCTAAACACACTAAGACAAAGGCAGCTGTCTGAAAGAACAGTTTATTGAAGAGTTTCAACAGAAAGCACAGACAGCGCCTCACCGCAGGGGGCCAGGACACGTGCGCCTCCCGCTTGGCCCTCACGCTGTCCCACCCGTCCGCGGCTTTCCTCCATGACACCTGGCGGGAGTTCACACTGCAGTGTGCAGTGACACGGGTTCAGATAAGCACAGAGGACGCTGCTCGTGTGTCACCCCCTTCTCACAATGAAACCCACACTTTCTCATCACCTCATGACTCTCACATACACACTGGCTGAAGCTCAGGCCAGAAAACAAGGAGCCCTGGGCGCTGTGAATCACAAAGGTCATATAAGCAACAACCGAGTAACACTGACCGTAAATAGAAAATGAGCTTAACGCAAGGCTGTCACCGAGTGGGCTGTGACGCCGCACGCGCGCCATCTAGTTTGCTTGCTGCGCCATGTGAGCGGTTCAGGGCAGTCCACAGCTCAGCACACGCGCTCACGCACACGCTGGCAGTGACAAATGACTCTGGCCTGGGAGGGTTCTGTGGGACAGAGGGCACAGCTTCCGGCCACCTCCTGGTGTGCCCTGCGCCTGGAGAGACAGACTCCGGGGTGTGTTCGTAAGGCAGAGAGGGGAAGGGACCTGTGGGAGGCGTTGGGGAGCCGAGAAAGCACTGCACAGGCAGCGCAGGCGAGGACACACAAGGACGCCTGCTTCTTGGCTCTGCCTGCGCAGTGCCCCAGTGGAATCAGCACCCTGGGACAGTGGCCAGTCAGGGTGAGGACAGGCCAGGACACAAGCCCAAAGCATCCGGGGCACCAGAAGTTATTCAGGTGCTAAGGAAGGGTGAGTCCAGCGCCACTGGTGTCCGTGAGGCAAGATCCTTCTCTACGATCACAAAACCAGAAATGCCGCCCTGCAGTAACCCCGAGAGGCTGGCTAGGCTGGCACTGCCCTTGGCCGTTGCAGAGAACTGGGGAGCACTGAGCCTATGCTCCCATGCCATCCTGTGCCCTACCGCCCCAACACTGACCCAGGAGTCGGGACTCACAAGGCCCCACCTGTCCAGTCCTGCCCAATGACTCACACGGGTGGCAGGGCTGGTGTGGCAACCGCCCCCACAGTGGGGGGGGGGCGTCACGTGACAGCGCCCGGATCTCCTCGAAGGCTGGCACAGCTCTACGCACCGCTCTACGGAACCTGACCCAGGGCCCCGAAACAGAAGACAGCGCTGTGGGCATCACCGGGTCGCACAGTGTCAACACAGGAGTCTGTTCTGCCAACGACACAGTTCAAAAGATCAGATTAACCAGGTAGGGGTGTAAAATATCTAAAATGATATTGAAACATTAAGTTTCAAAATATTTCAAAGTTCTCAAAGAGCATCCTTAAGCCAGGTGTGGTGATTCTGCCTGTAATCCTAGCACTTGGGAGTCTGCGGCAGGGGAATCTATGTGAATTCCAGGCCAGCCTCAACCTGGCTGGTTCAGTGAGACCCTGTCTCAAAAAAACAGGAAAAAAAAAAAAAAGAATTTAAATACTAGGGAGAGAGATGATTTGCATGGGCAGCCAGAGGCCCCATACAGGGTTTTCCAAAGGGACTGAGCGGTTTAACCAGAATGAGGAATCCAGGCCAGGGCCCAAGTGTGACAGCCCGCTCTACTCGGGAGGCTGAGGCAGGAGGATAGCAAGCTCCAGGCCAGCCTAGGCAATTTAGCAAGACTCAGTCAATCTCAAAATGAAAAATAAAGGATGTGTCTTACCATGCTGCGTAAGACCCTGGGTTCAATCCTCAGGACTGCAGCAAAAACAAAAACAAAAAGAAACACAAAACTTTTTACCATTTTTTAAACTTTTCTGAAAGATCTGATTGCTCTTAAGATTCACTGGAGGAGGAGCCAATGTCTCCTGCAGCAGATGGAGAAGCACTTGGACCCTATAAAAAGCGCCTGTCCCAAGAGTGCACCAGGACACCACTGTCCTGCACTACCCGCCCCTGACAGGGTCCCCACCAGAGGAAGGGACAGGGCTTGGAGCCAGGGAACTGCAGTGAGGGGACTGGAACACCGCCCCTGGCTCCTGCAGGGCCAGTGTGGCTGACAGGCATGCCCAGCTTCCAGCCCTGTCTGCCTTCTGGCTGCCAGACCACAAGGCCATCGTTTTACAGTGTTCTGAAGCCACTGAGGTAGAGGAGATCTGTTCTAAAACCTAAGGAGGACCATGGCGCAGCCACAGTGGCAGGACCCCCAGCACCTCTGTGCACCCACAGCCCCTGGAAGGGAGCCACAGAGTGAGCCGTGGCCAGACACCAGGCCTGTGCCCGGTGCTGCTGCCCGAGGATGAGGCTGCTACGCCACTCCCGGGGCAGTGGGTGGTAAAGGCTGCACCTGCCAGTGGGAGGGCCGGCGAGCATCCCAGGTGACCATCCGTGCCCTTCACTTACACCAGCCACCTGCTGTCCAGGGGTACAGGGAGCACCTCAGACCCAAGGATGGTTGGTCCCTGGGTGCCAGGCCTCTGGGGCTGGGGTAATGAGCAGCCCTCACCCAGATCGTCCATGCATGAAGCCCCCAAGTGCATGTCCGGGGCCCCACAGTGGTGCCTTCACTGCTCTCTGCTGCCCTGCTGCCCTCCCAGTTGCCACACAGGGCTCCCATCTGCCCCTCACATGCTTCCTCCAAAGAGGGCAGCTCCACGATCGGCTCTGCCTAGAAGCTTCCCTTGGACCTCTGATAATTTCTACAAGGATCCCAGCCTGATAGGAACTGCTAGCAGCAGTGGAACTTCTGAGCACCCATCAGAATGTATTTTAAAGAGCGGAAGGCAAGCCAGGCATGGTGCTGCAGGTCTGTCAACCTAGAACTCTAGGAGGCTGAGGCAAGAAGATCCCAAGCTTGAGACAAATCTGGGCAACTTAGAGAGACCCTGTCTCAAAATGAATAGAGGGTCACTGTGAAGGCCCTGGGTTGAGTCCCCAGTACTACAAAAAAAGGAAATAAAAAGGCACTAGACACTCATTCAATCTTCTCTAGGTCTTTCTATAGCTACTTGCCATCTTTTTGTTTTTTTTGGTACTGGGGATTGAACTCAGGACCTTGTGCTTGTAAGGCAGGCAGCAGAACCACTGAGCTAAATCCCCAACCCTCCTGCCATTTTAACAACTCCCACAATGCCTGTCAAATTCTAAGAAACTAAATTATCAATGAAGTAGCTCAACACTTCACGTTAACCCATACTTGTTTGACGAGGATCCAAATGTATTATGTGCTGGTGTGAAGCCCTGGCCTAAGACCCATGGTTCAGACTTCATTTTTGCAACAGAAGAGGCTCAAATTCCAAGAAGCAAGAGAGTCTTTAAAGGCCAAAGAACTGTGACAGTGCCCAGGCTGCTGACCCAACCCAGCCATCCATATCTCCTCACTGCGGGGAGGAACAGGAAGCATCAGGGCCCAGAGTGAGCTGAGGCACAGGCGGGGAAACAGGGAGAGCACACCGGGCCAGATGAGGCAAAGGGAAGCCTTCCCACACCCGTGAAAGGACCAAGGAAACCCAGACCCACACAATGTACAGGCATTTGGTCACGTTTCCTGGGAGCTGGAGCACAATCACACCGCGTCAAACCAGGCCTGCAGCCGCACACACAACTCATGGCAGTGTGCTCTGAAAGGGAGCTGACTCTGACCCCAGCGTGGGAAGGCACCATCCACCCATCCGCCCAGAGCTCACCTCTCCTCTCCCACAACAGCAGCCCCACCTTCAGCTCTGCCTGCCCGGCAGTGCCTGGCTGCAGGCACCTTGCATGGCCCGGCAGTGCCCTGCCAGGACTCGGACCCACTGCGCCTCTTCCATCTCACCACAGCCTCCAGCCCAGGATGGTCCCGCCCTGACCCAGGCCAGGGACAAAGCCTGCCCGGATCCCCAGCCCGGCCCCCTCACTGGCTCGCCATGGCGATGGGGGCCAGGCAGGACAGCAGCCCCGACTGTGTCCCCGCCACCCAAACATAAGAGCAAGTTCTGGAGTCCAGGCCTTCTGGCCTCCTCCAGGGCCCTGCACAGAATGTAAGTTTTTAGGACACACCCTTCTCCTCACAATTTTCATATGATCTCACCGGACAAACGTCATTACATATCACATATTACCACCAAAAAACATTTGCTTCAGTTTCAGGAAAGCTTTCTCTACACATCTCAAACGCTTTCTCCATATGTGTATTTTTGAGGTCTGTGTATGTTTTAACTGACGACCATGTGATTTATGTGTCTGTAACAAGCAGCACACAGCTCACAGCCCAAACAGGTCGGCGCTCCAGGGCCAGACACAGGGGGCGGGCAGTGGCTCCAAGGGCTGCTGATGGGCCACCTAGGCCAGTCACAGGACCCGGCAGCAGCCCGGCCCGGCCCAGCCCAGCAGACCAGGCTCTTATCTGCAGCGCTTTCTGTAAGCCACAGAGATCTGGGTTACATTTTCCTGAGTGTCAGTCACCTAAATGCTGCTTCAGTTTCTGACACTAAAAAACACACCAAGCTCACAGCTCTGAAGCAGAACACCACAGGCCGGGAGGCCTGCAAGTCACGGGAAGACCCAGGTGCTCCGGGACCCACTAAATCCCCCCATCTCCACCTCAGCAGCCAGCAGCGTGAGCTGTCGCCAGGAGGCCACCAGGGACAGCAGCCAAGTGCTCTTCACCAGGTGCACCAAAGCCCTGCTGTCCATAGCCACCACCTGGCCAGTACTCATCCTCCTTCAAGATGTGGGCCACAGAAACCACCCAGGGGCCAGGGGCAGTGCTCAGGGGCGCCGCCATCACAGAGCACAAAACAAACAGCAAACGGAACAGGTCACGCTACAGTTACCAAATGCCTCTCTATAGCTAACTTCATAAAACATACACTCTTATTATACTTGGGAGTAAAAAATCAAGGCTTTGTGTGCACACATAGCAGGAGCTGAACCCAGGGCCTGGTGTACAGGTGCCTTCCAATACCACCAGCCCTCCAAATTTTCAAAATACAAACAATGAAATGAGCCTGGGGACAGCTATCATTAAAGAACTTGTGGCCATTTCAGCTGGGTGTGGTAGTACATGTCTGAAAATCCCAGCACTCTGGGACACTAAGGCAGGAAAATCACAAATTTGAGCCCAGCCTGGGTAACTAAATGACTTAATGAGACTCTGCCTCAAAACAAAAAATAAAAAGGGGCAGGGATACAGCTCAGTGTGAAGGCCTGGGTTCTACTCTCAGTACTACACACACACACAAAAAAAGAACTGGCTATTTTCCATCAGATTTAATTTTATATGTAAGGCAACAGAATAACCTAGTGTTCAATTTAAGCTGCAACTCACCTTGCAGATCTCAAGTGAAATTTGTCGCAAGAGTTTCGAGGAAAATGTACTTGGAATATTTTTATTATTAATGTAAATAAGCCCTCCTTACTCCCCAAAGAATTTAAAGACGCTAAATTAAATAATAAATGAACATTAAACAAGTCTGAGAAGTAGTAGAGAAGGAAAACTAAAGTCAAGAAATACACACACAGGCATCTTGTGAAACTATAAATGGTGGCCAACACTACCAACTTCCTCTGCTTCTCCGTAGGAAATTCGGCGGCACATTAGATCCATCCTAGCAGCCTGCAGAGCAGTAAGAAATGACTCTGAACTCACACTGCAGGATTCTTCAACCTACAAAGTCACTTGCTGGGCTTTAAATATATATTTAACATTGTTTAGCGTTTCCTTATCAATCTTGCATCAAAGCATCCTGAAAGTCTCATCTTTTCACAAAGTGCATCTGTGCACATGGGAGCTGAGGTCTCCTGGCTAGGTCCCTGCCGACTGAGGCCTGGACAGACGTCCTTCCCCATGGGGAAGCTGGGGGAGGGGGATTAAGCGGCTGACCAGAGGGCACCACACCCCGGAGCAGAGGACCTGACCACACCTGTGGCCGCTCTGTCCCTCAGGTCAGGCACCAATGTCACCAGGGACCACTGGACGCACCCTCTGTACCCGCCCTCCTGCTCCCAGGCCTGCGGCCTTTGAGGCTCTTCCTCCTCCTGGCTCCTCCGTGCCTGCCCCAGTTCCTGTCACCTCTGAACGCCTGAACTGGTTCCGCAGCTCAGAGCTGGAGATCCACAGATAACCAGCATGCGGGTCCTGGCCCATTCATCACCAGACACAGGGCCCGGTTATCTGCAGGAGCACCTGCGACATCACTGCCAGCCAGACTCCAGCCAGCGCCTGCTGCCACCCAGCCTAGAAACATGGCAGCTGGGAGCACTTGCTCTGCCTCCCGCTCGACTGGGGAGTGAGCAGCAGGGCGTGAGCTGGTGTGGGCTCACGTGCACACACACAGTACCCGGAGAGGCAGCAGCAAGCAGGGCGTGACCTGCTGTCCCCTGGGTGCCTTCTGGGATGCTGCCTGCACTCCACTCTGGGCACTGCACTCCTCCATGCCCTCACTTGGTAAGCAACAGAGTTCAACCAGGAGCTTCTTGAGGCATGAGTGTGCTTTCTCCTTCCATTATCACCCACAGAATGCTTCTAACTGTACGGTCACTACAAATCCAGAAGTTATGGTTGAGACCCAGACCAGGCAGTCAGAGGCAGGAGAATCAGGTTGGAACCTAGCAGAGGCAACTCAGTGACTCAGTGAGACTCCACTTTAAAAAACAAATTAAAGAGGACTAGGGATATAGCTCAGCACAAAGGCCCTGGGTTCAATCCCCAGGACAGGAAGGAAGGAAGGAAGGTAAAAGAGAGAGACTGAGGAAAGAAAGGAAGACAAGATACTAAGGGAGTATAAGAGATAGGATCTGGCTTCTAACTATATTGGGGTGGGAGAGAAAATGAGACTACGAGGGGAAAAGATAACAGTTCTAATTTTTAAAAAATGTATTAGCACAATTAGTATAAAAAGACCTAAGAGTAATAATTTTCAGAAGCTAAATATAGGGCCTGCTGTCCTACTTTTATTAGGAATATAATCTCTTCATGCATCTGACAATGGTCAGAATTTTTAAGCAAACTGACAAATAATAATGTACATATGTTGGAGATACTAAATGACATTGCAACACATGTAACTGTAGAATGACCAAATCAGAATTAACACATCTATTATCTCAAATATTTATCGTTTCCATTTAAGAACTCTCAATGCCCTTCTCAGCTATTCTGAAATACACAGTTCAGGGCTGGGGTGTAGTTCAGGGCAGAACATATGCCCAGAAAGCACCCGACCGAGTTCCACTCCCAGCACAGCAAACGAAAAAATACACATTGGCTACAGTCATCTCAATTTGTACTGACATCCAGATTTTAATTTTAAAAGGTTGCAAGACAATCACTGAAGAAAACACAGCATCTATTTAATGTCAGCCTCATGTGACCTAGCCGGCAGGGATGCGTTCCACAGGCTGCTGCCTCTGCTCCCTGACAGCTGCATGCAGCAGCGCTCCAGGCAGCACAGGTGACGATGCCCCAACCCGTGGGTCTGGGCCCAGGCGGCCCAGGAGCTCAGCGGGGAAGCTGCACACACACAGTGTGCAGTGGTGAGTGAGCTTCGAGGGCGCAGTG